TTTTTTTTTAGATTTTGTGTTGTTTCTTTTACATGTCAGGGATTTTTTTTCGTTCGTATCTATGTGTCTTTTTCTCTCTTTCTCTCTTTTCTTTTCTTTTCTTTTTCCCTTTTCTTTTTTTTTCTCTATTCTGTTCTTCTTCCATCGCTCCTGCAGATTTTTACTGCTTTCTTCCCTCTCCTCTTTTAATCTCCCTTTCTTTTCTTCTCTCCTGTTCTCTACTCCTATCCGTTTTTTCTCTCCTTCCTTCCTTTTACCCTTTACCTCTTCCTCATCCCTTTCCCTTCCTCTTTCCCTTCCCCATTACTCTTCTCTTCCCCTCCCCTCCCCCCCTTCCTTTCCCCTCCCCTTCCCCCTGCCTCTTATTCCCCTTCGCTTTAGTCGTTGCCTACCCTTATTTGCGTTTCTCCTTTCTCTTCGTCTTCCCCTTTTCTTTCATTTTCTTTTTTTCTTCCTCTTTCCCATGTCTCTTCCCCTCTTTCTCTCGGTTGCCCTCACTCTCACCCTTTCTACCTTTTTTTATGTCCTTCTTAATTCATCTACCTTCCCTTGTCCTTTGCCTTCCCATTTTATGCTATTTTCTTTTTCCCATCCTCTACGTCCTCCTCTTTCTCTCTCTCTCTCTCTCTCTCTCTCTCTCTCTCTCTCTCCTCTCTCTCCTCTCTCTCTCTCTCTCTCTCTCTCTCTCGCTCGCTCGCTCTTCTTCTCTCTTCTTTTCTCTTTTCTCTATCTTCTCTCTCTCTTTTCTCTCTCTTTCTCCTCTCTCTCTTTCTCTTCTCTCTCTCTTACTCTCTTCTCTCTCTCTCTTCTCTCTCTCTCTCTTCTCCTCTCTCTCTTCTCTCTATCTCTCTTCTCTCTCTCTCTCTCTCTCTCTCTCTCTCGTCTCTCTCTCTCTCTCGCTCTCTCTCTCTCTCTCTCCCTCCCTCCTTCTCTCTCTCTCTCTCTCTCTCTCTCTCTCTCTCTCTCTCTCTCTCTCTCTCCTCTCTCTCTCATCTCTCTCTCTCTCTCTATCTCTCTCCCCCCTCTCTCTCCCCCCTCTCTCTCCCTCCCCTCTCTCTCCTCTCTCTCTCTCTCCCTCCTCTCCCTCTCCTCCTCTCTCCCTCTCTTCTCTTCTTCCTTGCCTCTCTCTCGGTTCTTCCATCTCACTTCCTCTTGTCTGTATTACATGCAAGTGAATGATCTTTCTCCTTTACTCTTTATCTAATGCTTTTTCCTATGTTCCTCGCCCCCTCTCCCCTCCCCTCCCATCACTCCCTTCCCGTCCCCTCTCTTACTTCCCTCTCTCCATCCCCTCTTCCCCTCTTCTCTCTCCACCCCCTTTTCCCATTCCTCCCCTCCTTCCTTCCCCTTTCTCTCCTCCTCCCTTCCTCTCACCTTTCTCCCCTCCCCCTTCCTCTCCACTCTCTTCCCCTCCCACCTCTCACCCCCTTCCCCTGCCCTCTCTCCTCCCCTTCTTCCCTTCCCTCTCTTATCATCTCCCCCCTTTCCCCTCCCCTTCTCTCAACCCCCTCTGCCCCCCCCCCCCAAGTCTTCCCCTCCCAACACTCCCCAGGAGGAATATATATATATTCCTCCCCTCTCTCACCCCTCATCCCTTTCCTCCTCTTCCCTCCCTCTCTCTCCTCCCCCCCCCCCCCCTTCCTTCCCCTCCCCAACCCTTCGTTTTCTTGAAATTACACTTCAGAAAACCACCGCCATAATTTAGTGTCGCTTTTACCTTTCTTGCCCCGAATGCGATGTCTCTGGAATTCAATTATCAGTGTTCTGACATCTCGATGTCTCTGTACTCCTTTGGGTCTTCTTCTCTATCTCTGTTTGTCTGTTTTTGTCACTTTTTGTTGATTTGTTTGTGTGTTTGTATTTGTATGTGTATGCAGTGTTTAACTTGCTTTTTTTCTCTTTGTCTCTCTCTCTCTCTCTCTCTCTTTCTCTCTCTCTCTCTCTCTCTCTCTCTCTCTCTCTCTCTCTCTCTCTCTCTCTCTCTCTATTTCTCTCTCTTTCTCTCTTTGTCTCCCTCTCTCTCTCTCTCTCTCTCTCTCTCTCTCTCTCTCTCTCTCTCTCTCTCTCTCTCTCTCTCTCTCTCTCTCTCTCTCTCTCTCTCTCTCACCAGAGCGAGTCTTATCATGAAACAAAATTAATTATATTCACCTCTACTCTTCTTCCCTCCTCCCCTCCTTTTCGTTATCCCCCCCCCCCTTTCTCCCCTTGTCAACCTCACCCCCCCCCCCCCCCCATTACCCGCGTCTTCAAAATTCCAGAATATTCTCTCTGGTCACTCTTAATCTCCGGCAATTAAAGCTTGATTAACGCTGAGAATGTGACGGTGACGCGCCTGTGCTGGAGGGAGAGGGAGGGGGGGAGGGTAAGAAGTGGGATGGAAGGAGAGGGAGAGGGAGGGGGGAGGGAGAGGGAGGGGGAAGGGAGAGGGAGGGGGGGAGGGAGAGGGAGTGAGGGAGGAAGAGGGAGAGGGAGAGGGAGAGAGAGAGAGAAAGAGGGAGAAAGAGAGAGTGAGAGAGAGAGGGAAGGAGGAAGGGAAGGAAGGGGGGGAGTGAGAGAAGGAGGAGAGAGAAAAAAAGTAGTTTTATTTTTTCAATTGACCCTATTTTCTATTGCTTTTTTCTTTCTCTTCCTTTGTCTTTGTGATTTTCTTTGTCGTTTTATTAATGTTTCCTTCTTTTTGCTTGAGCCATATTTTCATTTCTTTCATGAGGCATTTAAAGAAAGAATTCTATGGTAAGACTTTCCATTTTTCCTTATTTTTCCTTTTACTTATATGGAATATACAAAGGCATAAAAAAACACATTATAGTAATATCATAGTAATAAAATATATCAGTCAATTCACAAAAAAATATTTTTATTGACAACAGTTTCTCCTAAACAAAAGCCCCCCCCCAAAAAAAAAAAAAAAAAAAAAAAACAATAATACGAAAAGGTTTTAGTCCAGCGATCTCTAACGCGGGAAAAACTTTTGGTCCAGTGGTCTCTATCCCTCGAGGCAACGCTATGGCCGGGGACCGCGACGCTTTGGGATTTGACTTCTGCAGGATATTGCAAGCGAGGTCAAACTTTGATGAATGGCGGGCATGCTGAAAGGTCACGGCTAGGAGAAACGACCTTGTTGCTGATACTGAGGATTGACAATTGGGGAAAATCGAGCCTAAAAGCGGCCGGATGATTTTGATGTTTTTTTCTTTCTTTCTTTCTTTTTCTTTCTTTCTTTTCTATTTTTTTCTTTTTTTCTTTTTTTTTTGTTTCATTTCTTGTATTTTCCTTATCTTTTTCTTTTTCTTTTCCATTTTTTTCTTCTCTTCCCCGTTCTTCACTTCCTTTTTTCTTCTCTTGTCTCTTCTCTTTTCTTCTGTTTTCGTCTCTTTTCATTTCTTTTCTTCTCATTTTTTCCTTTCTTTTTTTTCCTTGTCATTTATTTTCTTCCTTTCTCTTCTCTCTTCTCTTCTTGACCACCGTAAGAAATTTAGCGAAGTCACGGCATAAAAGTACATTGTCGATAGGCGCTTTCACCTTATATATTATAATTCGATTTTTTGGCAGCTATTACAATCAGCACAAAAGTATTATTGTGTGTGTCTCGTTTGTGATATTATTATCAAAATTATCATTTATCATGTATTAATATTATTATCATTACTACTACTACTAATACTATTATTGTTATAATTATGATTATTGATATTATTATTATTATTATTATTATCATCATCATCATCATTATTATTATTATCATAAACAAAACAAAAACAAAAAATAGAAAAACGAGTCCACTCCATCATTCAAAAAGAAAAATGAATAAAGATGCGACACAAGATGAATGAAGTGAATAAGGGAAGCAAGAAAAAAAATGATGAATAGTCTGCCACGGCCATGGCGGTGTCCCGATGCCTTTACTGAAGCCACAGATTAGAAGCCGAAGCCAGAGCCAGCAAGGATCGCATTTGTTCGTTCGTTTGTTTTTCTGCACGATTCTGATGCGTCTCTTGTTATTGTTATTTTTGTTATTGTTGGTGTTATCGTTATTTTCATATTTGTTGTTATTTTCGGTATTATTTTTTTTATTGTTATTGTTGTTACTATTGCTATTTTTGTTATTATTGTTGTCGTTTTTTTTTGTTATTATTATTATCATAATTTATTGATTTTTATAATTGTTGGTATTTTTATTATTATTTATGTTTTAATTGTTATTATTATAATTATCATTATTGTTGTTGCTATTATTATTATTATTATTATTATTATTATTATTATTATTATTATTTTCATTATTATCCTAACCATCATCATCATCATAATTATCATTATTGTTATGAACATCATTATTTTTGTATCATTTATGTTAATATTATTATAATTATTGTTTTATTGATATTACCATTGTCATTATTTATGACAATGTTATCATTATTATTATCTTCATCATCATCATCATCATCCTCTGCCTTATCATCATCATCATCATCATCTTCATCATCATCATCATCATAATCATCATCATTATTTTTTTATCTCTGTACTTCAGATTTATTTAATATGTAGCATTTTCATCAACTCACTCTACATAAAATACGTTTATTCGCCTAATACATGCAGTAGAGCGACAAGTTATAAAAAAATATATAGAATAACCGGACACTCGAAATTCTTAGCTCATAATTACGAAGAAATGTGTACTTTTCTCACATACTTTTGATTATCTCTCCCCGTTTTCTATTCTGTTTTTTTTTTTCTTATTCTTTTTTTGGCGCGAAAGACTGTTTCACTCCGTTTTCTGTCCTCTCTTCTCGTTTTCTCTGGATGCATAAGACTATCTCACCTTCTTGATTTCTGCAAATGCAAAAGGCTATCTCATACCGATTTCTCTTCATTGTTTCTGTTTTCTCATCCCAATTTTTTTTCTCTCTCTCTCTTCTCATTTTCTGTAGACGGGAAAGACAATCACCCCGTTTTCTCTTCTCCCTTCCCGTTTTCTGTAGACGCGAAAG